CAGCTTTTGTAATCATTACGGTGGCCATTATTCCTAAACTAAAAGATTAAAACAATATTAATTGATAAATGTCACTTAGATGACTTGATGACTGCAAGACCGATGAATAATGTGGCTTTGTCAAAGTTACATCTCCAAAATTTAAATGAGATTCTCCGATATAAATTTGTATATTTTGTCATTCTGCAGGTACCTTGTACCTTGCATTGGCATATTTGTCAAGTAGCCATTCCATAAAATTCTGAATATTGCTTTCATTGAAACATTCAGGGTTATCCCTGGGGTATTGAACAGCAGCTTGTCTGATATGAAGGTACAGCCTAATACAGCTAAAAAAAAAGCAGTCACCCTCACATTCCACGTCCAGAGCTACAAATCCTAGCTGTCCTAATTGAAAGTTAAGCAATGCTGTAGGATCTTTTGGCAATCTGGTCTGATTGTCCACATTTTGTTCGGGACCCGATTTTATTCAACATCACCTGATCTAGCTCATAAGTTTCATTCTTGATAGGCAATATCTTTTAGTGGCGCAAGTTGATTTTAGAGTTTTTCTTGAACAAGAGTTACTGCAGGTTTGCTCTCTTTTTTATATAACAGCTTCTTTGTTACCAGTCTTTTTAAATTGGCAAACAGTTAGTAAAAACAGTTGCATCTGTGAAATTATCTCACAAACCATAATTTATAATCAGTCGCCGAGCCATGTAATCTCAAAGATTTAAGTAAAATTCTTAAGAACGAACTTGAGTTTGTATCTAACTTTTCTCTTATTCATAAAGTCTAGGATCTTTTTTTACCAGTGTTCTGGACGGCTCGCAGTCTCTACGCCGTTTTTGATGTTTTCCCGGGAGATGTCTAGGGAATCCTCTGATTCGCGGTGCGCCAGCAATGGAGACTCCCACATTAAACCTCACAGTTGTATGAAAAGTTTTATTCAAAACGATCCTTAAATTATAGTTTTCACTTAGAATACTAGCTGTAGGATTACCCCGTCGGCATAAAATCGCCACAGCCTTCACACAAGTCTGGCCAAGGACAGATATTATATTTAATCCTTAGGCGGGCTTCAATTTGTAATCCCCAACAGAGCCTTCATAAGTAGGATCAATTTTACTATAAGTAGTGTCGGCCGACATGGCGACCGACATGGCGACCGACATGGCGACCGACATGGCGACCGACATGGTGACCGACATAGCGACCGACATGGCGACCGACATGGCGACCGACATG